ACTGACGGCAGAAGGTCTGGGAACCTTGGCCGCTTTGAATGGCCATGGAACGCCCAAGAGGCCATATGATTGACAGGTAAAACAACAAATCACGTTTCATTTTGTGCCACGTCATGTTTAGGGTGTGGAAATGTCCCCACAATAACAGACCGGTGTGTCAAACTCTTGGACATACTTTAAAGATTATATGCCGCGGACAATAAATATTTCACATACTTTTGAAAATCCAGCATTTAGTTGATCCTGATAATTGTCACATTTGTAAACACAACTGCTTTCTTCTTCTGTGAGATAGTTTTGCTTTACTTCGCACCTGATGGTCCGGTCCTCGATAAAAAGCAAACCACAGATGAAGTCAGACACCATGCCAAAGTTGACATGAACTCAATAAGCTATAATCTCTTACCTTAAGCTGGCTTAAAGATTCAGTGCAAATGGGCTGCTGAAGGAGATACAACTGTGATGCTTCTAAGTTTCCCTATCGATACTTCACTCGTACTGCATCTGCTAATACGCTATGGGGAAAACTCCTTTTTCTCCGAATACTGAAGCCTTTCAATAACGCAGTGTAACTTCATGGTCATTGGTTCGTGCAGTGAATTAAAAAAACGAACCAATGGCTCACGAGCCTATGGCGACGAAAACCACCAGAGCCCGCCAGAATGGGCGGGGCATCTGGCTATATAAGCGGCACTTCGCCATAGGATCCTCAGATTTCTTCTCCTTCAGCGACGACGATGTTATTCGCTGATCTACAAGACTCGAAACCTCTCGCCGTAGCATCGCCTTTGCAGCGGATCAAGCTGAACCAGCGACCCTTTGCTCGGCTGATTCGCCGCTTCTCCGCTGCCTTCAGCGTCGCAGAAGCAGCGGTCCCAGCTGATCCCCTGCCGCCACTCGGCGAGCCTAAAAGAACTTATTTCTAAGAGGTAAGTTCTAAAAGCGCAAAATTTCTAGCAACGTTGTTGCAAATGTCGCGCTGCGAGTGTGGCTCGTGCAGGGAATCCTGCACAATGCAAAAGGACAGTGAGTGCGTCGCCTGTCTGGGCAGCCCCCACGCAGAGACTGCACGCTCACTGAGACGGACCACCTTCTCCACTCGTCCACTGTCAGGGTATTGAGAATATATATTGAGCGTTCTGCCCCGTTCAGGCAGTTGGAACAGCTTTTTGTATGCTTCGGTGGCCACACCAGAGGGTCTCCGGTCATGAAGCAGAGACTTTCCAAATGGATAATTGACACTATCAAGCTTGCATACTCTTCTTGTGCTGGCCCACCTGAAGGACATCACTGGACCCTTGCTGGATCCTCTTCAGTTTGCCTACAGAGCAAACAGGTCTGTGGACGATGCAGTAAACATGGGACTGCATTATGTTCTGCAACATCTAGACAGACCAGGGACTTATGTGAGGATCCTGTTCGTGGACTTCAGCTCAGCCTTTAACACTATCATCCCAAACCTCCTCCTACCCAAACTAACTCAGCTCTCCGTGCCACCCTCCGTCCGTCAGTGGATCAACAGCTTCCTGACAGACAGACAGCAGCTAGGGAGGCTGGGAAAATACACATTCAGCACCCGTATAATCAGCACTGGAGCTCCTCAGGGCTGCGTCCTCTCCCCACTGCTATTCTCTCTGTACACCAACGACTGCCCCTCTAAAGACCCCTCTGTCAAGCTCCTGAAGTTTGCAGACGACACCACACTCATCGGCCTCATTCAGGACAGTGACGAGTCTGCTTACAGACAGGAGATCGAGCAGCTGGCTGTCTGGTGCAGTCTCAACAACCTGGAGCTCAACACGCTCAAAACTGTGGAGATGATCATGGACTTCAGGAGAAACCCCCCTGAACTCCCCCCACTCACCATCATGGACAGCACTGTGACTGCAGTGGAGTCATTCAGGTTCCTGGGCACCACAATCTCTCAGGACCTGAAGTGGGACACTCACATTGACTCCATTGTGAAAAAGGCCCAGCAGAGGTTGTATTTCCTTCGCCAGCTGAGGAAGTTCAACCTGCCACAGGAGCTGCTGAAACAGTTCTACTCCACCATCATAGAATCCATCCTCTGCACTTCAATAACTGTCTGGTTCAGCTCAGCTACCAAATCTGACCTCAGAAGACTACAGAGGGTAGTCCGGACTGCTGAGCGAATCATTGGTACAACCCTCCCTTCTCTCCAAGAACTGTACTTATCCAGAGTGAGCAAAAGGGCTGGCAAAATCACTCTGGACCCCTCACATCCAGCACACTCCCTCTTTGAACTGTTGCCATCTGGTCGACGCTACAGAGCACTGAGCACCAGAACGGCCAGACACAGGAACAGTTTCTTCCCTCAGGCAATCCATCTCATGAACACTTAACAATAACTGTGGAACACACACTATTTATTCACTCATACACTTATTTATCTAACACACATACTCAGTCTACACCTCAAATTTGCACATAATATACAGTACCTGTACATACAAAAACTGTCTATTGTAATATACCTGCACATACAACTGTCAATTTATATATTTTTATTCCTTATTTACTTGTTCTATTTTTTATTATCTGTGTTTTTTGTTCTGTCACTGTCATTCTGTTACACTGTGGAAGCTTCTGTCACGAAAACAAATTCCTCGTATGTGTAAACATACCTGGCAATAAAGCTCATTCTGATTCTGATTCTGAAAAGGGTTTTGCCTATAATTATATTTTTCAATATAATGATAATAGGGCTGCCACTAACGACTATTTTTATTTCGATTAATCTATCGACTAATTTATCGATTAATCTAAATGATTAATTTCCCACCTAAAAATCAACAATTTTAAAGAACATTTTATTAAACTTGCAACTTTGCCATTCAGTAGTGTACCATAAAAAAGTATAAATGTAAAAAAGCCATTGACGAAATGTAAAACTAAAAGAGTAAAAATGTAAACAAACCTAATATCAAGAAAATAATTAAAAAAGTCTGAGAAAGTCAGCATGTTCTTAATGTCAATATATCCACATGTTCTGGGCTTCTGTTCATTACAGCT